TGTTAGAAAGACATCAATTGGATTTTGCATTAATTAGTTTTTTTGCCAAAATCGAAACAATTATTTTCTAAATAAATAGTTAAAATCTTTATTTAAGTAGTGAAAACTGCATTTGATTATTTCCACATGACATGAAAGTCATGCAACTTGCCCTCAGTCCGAATTCCACTTAAACCTAGTTTAATTAGAGACGTAACATATTAAATTTTAGAGACATAACATAGTAAATTTTTAAGAATTTTAAACTTAGAATTTTTTTTCGATTAATTTATTAATTAATAAAAACGTTTAAAACGATAATTTTAGTGAAGTTTACTGTATAGCATAACTATAAGTTCAAGAATTTGCGAGAATTACATGTCCATCAATCTTTTAACAGAGTTAAGATTTTGCGAACTTTCAAAATAAATGTTTTTTTTTTCAATTTTTGAATAATCTATATTAAATGAAACAAATATATATATTTTTTTCAATTTATTTCCACAAGTACCATAATTTACACAACAGCAAAATAATTAGGATCAAGAACAAAGCTGCATTGCAGTATTTATCAATGTGAATATATTAACCCTTTCCACTCGCGAATTCCGAGATTATTAGTATTTTGTCACCAGAGCGGCGGCATCCGAGTGGAAAGGGTTAACTTTTAAACAAGTTTTTGATAGTTAGGCGTAGTAGTAATATTATAAAATTTAAAGTACCAAACTTAAAATTGAGTAATTTTAAAATAAATAGATAAATAAAATATAATTTTTAAGCTACTATTAGGGAATGGTTTTCAATTAGGTGAAACTTAGTGCATAATTATTATTAGAATCATTAACAACATAATTTTGCCAGAATTACTTATTGCTTTTATTTTAAGTAAAATTAGCTAATATTTTGTATATATTTTTTATTAGAGCACAATCTCTCTCTGATTTTTTGTGATACCTGGATATATTTTCCATATTCAAGAATATATGAATTTGATTTACTAATATTATTTGTATTAGTGATGTCCTGCAAGATTTACTATATAATACAATTTATTAAAAAATAGCCTGATAATTTTTATATAGCAAGATATGTAGCTAAGTTGATAATGATACATGGTTTATGGCTTATTGTTCAAACACTACGTAAAGTCTCAATTTTATAATACTCACAGATTATTAAATTGTCAGTTAATACTACAAGCTCTTATCACTTCTTATGACAGTTTATATTGTTGTTGGAGTAAACTATATGTGAGTATAAAATGTATTCAAGTAGTAAAGCAAATACATCTCTCTTAGTAGGGCCGAACAAACAGCCACTGTGAGTGTTTTAAATAAATATATTAATTTCAATGTACAATATATTGGAATGAATTTTTCGCATATAAATGCATGCAATATAAATGCTAAGTAATCTTGTAGATCAATTGTATAACCTACATGTCACAGTAATGCATAAAAAAATTAAATCTAACATTTAAAATAAATAATCTTATCCAGATTGCACTATCATGCAATCTACAATTATGCGACAGAGAAACTTAATAATACACATTTAATATCATTTCATATATTTTAAGTCTTAATTGTCTCCAAATAAAATAAAGCTAGCTGGTGTTCATATTTAATGCTCTAAAGAGTCCGAAATGCACAAGCAACAAAACATAATAATTGTTGCTCTTCTGTTTGCAACAGACAATTTTGTGCTTGTTAAACATGCCTAATGCATCATAAGATGGCATGTGTAAATCAGACTTTACAATAAATTTAAAAGCAATATTAGGTCTGAATTGAGTTGTTGAATATCTGGCAAACATTGTAGCTATGGCCTAAACATCTAACCTTTAGTCAGATATTCGTTCATTCTCTTTCAGCATATGCTTTCATAAAATTCATATCCCATAATACTGATAGCGTTTATAACAGAAGCAGTTGCAGGAAAACATAATATTCGAGTTTATCTACATTTATATTATCACAGAATGTTTAATAAGTAAAAAATTTAACGATAAAATTTAACTTCAGCCTCCACACAATCTTTCATCAACTCGTCCAATTCAGGATTAACATTAGAATCTGTTTCAAGATACAGCTGCACTTCTCCTACGCAGCACGCTTCAATATCTTTGAGCAGTTCAATTGCTCTATCCGTCGCACCAACTGAGTGAAGTTTGTAAAGGCCATGCATGTATGTGCCATCATTCTAAAAAACAATACAATTGATTATCATTTCGTATAAAAACTTAGGTTCAAAATTGCAAAAAAAAACTTTAAACGCACTTGTTTCTTGCAGACTGTTAAGGGTGAAACAACAGCATTCGGTGTGAAAATAAATGGTTTAAAAACAGAGATGCTAGGATCAGGAGTAGCGGTAAACCAATGACAATTTAATCTATTTTGAGATAATGATGACACCTAGAACAAAAAAAAATACGCATTATGATATTGTTGTCAATATTAATTCAGGTGGAAAATAAATTTTCTAACATACGTGACTATTCTGAGTTGGTTGAACATTTTCCTGATCGTGGAAGGCGTTATTTTCCTTATCTCGTAACACACTGAAGAGTTCGGAAATTGAAAATGTGCTACTTACAACTTCTGTTGAGAAGTTTGAACCCTGAAATTATAACAATCCGTTAAACACAAATCTTTAACAATGTATTAGCATAAAAAAGCATAAAAAACTTACTTTGCTTGGCCAAAAATCTCCTAGTTCATCTTTATTACTCCCACTACATTTGTCAATTGTTTTCACACTTAAACCAGGGGAGATTTTGCTTAGACCATCTAAAATAAAATAATTATTTTTGATTATAATTGGCAT